AACAAAATATCATTTCAATGTAATTTAGTATTATAAATGTAGTCCAGCAAAAAAATAGATGTGGGTTCCCTGTTTTACTCTCTAAGTTTTTTTTTAGGTATTTTATGACAGGAATGTAAGACTAACACAGTTGGCATTAGATAGATGGAACCACATTTTTAGAATTTTTAGAATATGCACTCGGGAGAATAAGTGTTCTGATATAAGCTTAAAATATTCTACTTGGGGCTACTTTTTACATATGTACTAGTGAACAGTCATTGCAAAAAATGAAGGATTTCATGACATTTTCATTCAATGTATAATATTCACCCTACTAGCCTTCCCTGTCTCTATCCACACATCTGTTAGTCCATGTCTTCTTTCCAAGAGCCCCACCTACTGTCACATACATTATATTTAGCGGTCATTGTACCTGAAGTTTTCTGGTCCTGCCTGGCCCATGGTCAGGTCAAATCTTTCTCACCTACCAGTCCTGCAGCCACTCGGACCCAAGTAAACACACAGAGACTTACATTACTTATAGACTGTATGGCTGTGGCAGGCTTCTTCCTATCTAGCTCTTATATCTTAAATTAACCCATTTCTATAAATCCATACCTTGACTCATGGCTCGTGGCTTTCCGTTATCTTACCATGTTGCTTCTCACAGTGGCAGCAGAGTCTCCAGACTCAGCCTTCTACTTCCCAGAATTCTCTTCTCCCCTTGTCCCAGCTATCCTATCCTTCCTGCCTGGCTACTGGCCAATCAGTGTTTCGTTTATCAATCAATCAGAGCAAAATATCTACAGCATAGCAGGTCATAGTGAGTTAAATCTAAGTTCTTTTACAGATCATTACACTAATATTTTATGTCTACAGGCATCTGTAGTGTGTGCTTCTGACACAGCAGGGCTCAAAAGTAAAGTTCTAAGCAGAGAACTCTCTACTCATTTCATTACAGAAAATCCTGTTTCATTCTAGCACTTAACAGCTCTCACTATTAATGAATAGAAAAGCAAACACTCACCTGGCCAGGCCTATGATAAACATCAATGTAGAATGAGGCCTTTAGAAGCAGTTATAAGGAAGAAATGTCATCAGCTTACCTCTCTCTAGACCGGCAATTATCGTGTCATCTGTAGAGGGCACTTCTGAGCTTGAGGTTGTTAGAAAGTTGTACCATCAAATGGGAAAGTAAACTTCCTAATTCCAGGAGAGGAGTGGAGTGCTAACAGCTGAGCTCTGGGTTTCCCATGTGTGAGCTACTCTCCCCAGGCCATATCTGTCTGTGTGGATTAGCTGATCCCAGTCCTTACAGACAAAACAAAAAGAAAATTAATAATATCCTATTTAAAAGAAGTAGAAAAACATTTTCACTTAACCAAGGTATCCTTACTGCTTCCAAAACATTCCTGATAGCCTCCATACTTACTTGATAGTGGCTTCAGGGTCTCATCTGGAAATTATCATCAATTTTGCTCAAATTAGAAAATGTCCAACCAGCCACATAACCTTTGACCTGCCTATGGGATGTGCTGAGGTAAGGGTGGCCTAGAAATTGAGAGAGTGGAAAACCAATGATTCGTCTAGCCTAGAACCCATGGCAGGAGAGTAAGCCCACCCCTGATACTACTGTGATCATCAGAACCCACAGGCTAGTTGACCCAGAGATCTGGGATAGAACCAAACATGACTGGAGAAAAATACATCAAAAATATAATCTACACATAGATTGGTGCCTAGCCTAATAGTCATCAGAGAGGTTTCCTCTAGTAACTGATGGAAACAGAGGCAGACCTGCAGCTAAACATTAGGCTAAAATGAAGAAGAAAAGAAAAGAAAACTTCTACAGCTAAAACCTGTGCTTTTGCTTAGTCAAAGGGAAATATTCAAAAATTTTCTATGATAACTAAAATAAACCCCAAAGAAGAAATTTTGCAGTTGCTAGACACGGACTAAGATATGAAACCCACAAAAGGTGATCTGAATCATACCAGAGCTGTGGTGGTTTAAATGAGATATTCCTGAGAGTCTTGGACATTTGAACACTTAGTTTCCAGTTGATGTTGCTGTATGTGGTGAAGCACTCATCTATTTATTCTTTACTATTAAAAATTTGGAAGTCAGATATTGCGGTAAGAACCTGAATGATCAGAGAAGTGGAGACGTGACTACTGAACTCTCTCTCTCTCTCTCTCTCTCTCTCTCTCTCTCTCTCTCTCTCTCTCTCCCTCTCTCTCATTCCTAGATCCCAACATGCTGAGACTCTCTCTAACTCCAGTCCTACTACTGCCTGTGTCTTTCTATCTGTTCTTGCTCTTACAAAACCTCTATGTCTAATTTTCGTCAGCTAGTAGCTAGTTCCAACCTCTGATTCAAAGCAAACTTCATTGTCAGTCTCAGGAGCATCAGAATGTGATCAAATTATCCCACAACATTTCCCCTTATAGTCTAAATAAAATGGAAGGTTTTTAACTCTAACACAGTATAGCTATATACAACAAGAATAATTATTGGATAAGAATTACATTCACAATGTCCAGTCCGTTTGCATTTAGCAAAACCAGAAAAAGTACTCCATGTTCTCACCTATCCCAGTGAGTCCAAAGTTTTGTACCTAATTTACTTTCTATCCTAACTTGTATTACCACCACAAAACTATTTTTTTACCTCAAAACATTTTCTTAGAGAAACAATTTAATTATGTCACTCAACCTTATACACTTTACAACACTTTTGTGAGTTTCGCTTTTGAATTTGTTAACAAGGAACACTGTAACTATAACTATCTAGTCTTCAACTCCTTTAGAGACACAAGGAAGATATAATATTACCTGAGTAAACAGGAAGTGCCGAGCAAACAACTTCTAAAACTATAGAAATGACAAAGCGTTTGGCTGCCTGGACAGGCACCTAAGCTTCCTCTGCAACAAAGGGTGCCCTTAAGATTTCATTATGCCTAGACAACAAGAAACAGTATAAAAAAACATGATGCCCACATCTCCATCATGGCCATAACTTCTAATAAATGTGTGATTATAGAATCAGCCTTTTCAGAACTCAAAGATGTTGTCCATTGAAATCCAGAATATGTATCTATGGTATGGTGTACATTTTTACTTTTTGAGACACTGCAAAATGAAACACATCCATTTGCCAAATTCATTTCCTTGTGTACCCTTTTGTTATTACCTGCAGGTAGTGGAGTTTCTTGAATTATTTAAGTCCTTATCTACTTGTAAGGTTTGAAATAAATTACTAACTTCTTGAGTTATCAATGTAATCGTGGGCCATAGCCAGTTAATATGTGCCAGCAAATTTTGAAAATCATTAAGAGTTCATAATTGATCTCTCCTGATTTGTACTTTCTGTGGCTGAATTTTTGTAAATCTATTTTATGTCATGGGTAATTAATTAATAGAATCTCTTCTTTGTAATTTTCAGGAGCAATTTATAATCACCACCAAGGCAAATTTTTCTTTACCTCTTTAAACACTTTTACTAAGGTATTTGAGTCTGAATCAGCTAGTAAGATATCACCCATTTAAGGGTAAGTCACAGATTGAGGAAGTTTTTTAAGAATTATTTTCAATGGTTGTTGTACAAAATATTGACACAAGATAGTGCTGCTTAACATCCATTGTGGAACAATTTTCCACTGATATCTTTTACAGGCTGGGAATTATTATAAGTAAGCACAGTGAAGGCAATTTTTCTCTATCTTGTTTTTGCAAAGGTATAGTTTTTTTAAAAAGCAGTAGATTCTTCTCAAATTTCCTCTGTGTGTGAGTATTTTCTTAGTTTCATTTATAGGTCTTTCTAAAGATTGTATCTTATCAGCCAATTTTTCATATTTGACTCCAAAATCAAACACATTTTTTAAGGATAAAGCATGAATTACCAAAGTGATAATGATTATAATCGACCTCATGTCAATATCAGGTAGGTTTTTATTCCTTCATTTAATTTTTTTTCATTTTAAGCCATTCAATATGGAAACATACAGAGAACTAACTCCCTGTATCATAATATTGTTCCCCATGATTAACATGTGGAAAAACTTTAAAAAAAATAAAATAATTCCCCCTCAGAACTTCCCAAGGGTCTCTCAGATCTGATGATGATGACAATGAGATGTGAGGCTGGCTGTCACTGTGGTGCATGGCCGGGCTCCGTGGTGCATGGCTTGGCTGAGGACAGCTGCAGCCATTTGTCTGTAGTTAGGGGTTGAGAATATGTGGTGATGACAAGCGTAGAATAAGACCAAGAAGGTATCAAGGCAGCCAGTCTGGTGTGGCAGCAGCCTGAAGAGGGCACACAGGGGAAGCCATCCACCCACAGGGAGGAGTTGACTACCTGAAAAGTGGACACAGGGAGATTTGTGGAAGGAGCCTGCATGGAAGGAAGTGAGGGCATGGGGGCTGCCTGAAGGACAGAGCCAGCTGGCAGTGGGCAGCTAACTTCTATGGCATTTGGTGCCCAGCCACCTGTGGAGTATGGGGCCGGGGACAGTAGCAGCTGGAGGCCACTGTAGAGAAGCTACAATGGGAAAACTCCAGATTTGCACAGAGGGCATCGGGGAAGGCCGGAAAAGCCAGCCATAGTGACACCTGCAGCAGCTGCAAAGCCAGTGGACGTGTGATCCTCTGCCCCACATTGGGTGCCAGATAGAGCATTTGTCTAATTATTCTTGTTAATAAGAATTCAGGAGTTAGATATCAGAGTAAGAAGCTGAATGATCAGAAAAGCAGTGGGAAAACTGACCACTGAACTACTGTCTCTCTTGTTTTTTGATCCAAAAAAGCCAAGATTTTTCTCTAAGTCCCAGCCTACTACTTCCTGTGTGTCTCTATCTGTGCTTAGTTCTCCAAAACCTCTATGGCTAATTTTTGATCAGCTAGTAGCTACTTCTGCCCTCTGAAT